TGTAAACCACCCTAAGTCCACACACATCCACGCTATGTGTGCCACCTGCCGTAGTAACTTAGGAGCCCTGGACCCGTGTGCACAGCCCCACAGAGCTCATGGTCAAGCCACCCTCAGTTTACTTACTAAAACTCCATAGCACAAGATAGTGATGCTGGCAATTCAAATATGCCTGAGAGAAACCACAGTGTGTGTCCACCTTAAGTTGAAAGGTGTGTGTGCAGGAAGAAAAATAGTGTATGCATAGGGTTCGGTACCACCCCGGTTTCAGGCGTCCCCTGGAGGTCTCTAACGGTCTCCCCTGGAGGTTTCTAAGTCTCCCCTGAAGACGAGGGCGGCCGCTGCAGGGGGAATGAGTTCCACTCTACAATCACTCAGCCGCTGCCCGCCTCCGGGCCTCTAGGAAACAGGACTGCTGCTCTCTCCTCAGGGCTCACAATGGTGCCCGCACTCTCAGAGAGCTTAGAAAGGACACCTGACTTATAAATGATAAACAAACTAACTCTAAAATAAATCATTGGCTCTTCCAAGTTGATCAGTTAACTGCTTCAGTGTGTAGATGATCTGTTGTAGAACTGTGCACCTAAAACCTGTATAATTTTGATCACCCCAATAAACTCAATAAAAAGATAAAATTAAAAAAATAGCCGCCCCCCCAAATAAACCTATCAGTGAATAATAGTGACCTAAGTAAGCATTTACTACACAGGCACAATCAGTATAAGATACTTAATTTTCCTCTCTCTAAGACACAGAACCATCATATCTAGTTTTGGAATGCAAAGTGGTTCGGAAAACAAAACTAACTTCACAGCAGCATCGTTCCCTGGTCTGACCCCGTGCACGGCCCTCCCTGGAGCAGGGGCCCTGCGGCCACAGGGGTGGCCTCACTGCAGGGCAGGGGCACAGGCCCGGATGGCGCCGCCGGCTTTTCTGATTGCAAGGTGTGGAGAGAGAAACACACTTCCGCCTAAGCTTAGGGAATAGTCTCCTGGAACATGAGTTTTAGGCACATTTCTAGTCAATTAAGCAATACTACACTTGAATTAGCTGCAAAAATGAACAAAGAACTATATTCTACAGTAACCGCCTTCAAAAAGTAGCTCACTGTAAAACGCAACTGTCCTGTTTTTACTGAGTTACCTAGAGTCCCTTTCACTGGAAAATGTAAGTCACTCCTAAGCTCACTTCTCTTACAGCACAGAAATGATGCACTTCCCTGTGAGGCTAGCCGCGGGGTGAGGCCACCCTGCCTGAGCGGGTTAGCGCCCCCTCAACAGCCTGCAGAGGCAGCCTCGTTACCATCGCCTGGAAACCTGCTGAAGCACAGAGATGCTGACACTGATTCATACGCGAGAATGGCGTGCATTGCAGCAGTGACTCTATAGGTAGGAAAAATGGAGACAATATAAATGCCCAGCAACAGGAAACTATTAAATAAATTAGAGTATATCCACATGATAATGTAATGCCATGAAGCCATTAAAATGATGTTTTCAAGAAATACTAGTATGTAAGAAATTTCACATAATGACACTATGTGAAACTAAGCAAAACAAAAATTGAGAAAATTGAGAGTGTCACATGGCCTCTGAGGAAGGACTACTCCGGGCATCTTTTATCTGAGGGTCTGCTGCACACACAGTGCTGAGTGCTGAATGCGGTTCCCCCCGGGACGGGCCCTGCCTGAAGGCTGTGAGGCAGCGGTTCTCCCTTCCTAACGCCGAGCCCTCTGCCCTCCGACACAGTCCCTCATGTGGTGGTGACCCAACCATAACATTATTTCCATTGCTACTTCATAACTGTGATTTTGCTCCTGTTATGAATCGTAATGTAAATGTCTGTGTTTTCTGATGGTCTTAGGCGACCCTGCCTGCGGTTCTCAACCTGTGAGGACCCACAGGGAGAAGCGCTGCTGTGGAGCCTGCGGCCTCAGGAATGGTTTGTTAGCCTCGCCCGCGGGGGGCGTGCTGTGGATGGCCCTGCTGCTGGGACTCCCAGCGCCGCCCGATGCCAGTGAGTCAATGGGGACCAACGCTGAGGTGCCTGAGGGGCAGGGAGGACCCCACGGGAAATGCTTCTGCTCCCAGAGAAAGCTCTCATCGGAGAGGGGAGGTCAAACATCCTCACTGAGACTAGTGATACACCAGAGAAAAGGAATATTAAGTCAAAATGTCCCGAGAAAGAAAAAAATACTTGAAGACTAGGATTTTCCTTTTATCTCAATTTCTCCAGAATTATTCTTAAGCTGGGCTAAGCGCACCCTGGCCAGGGCAGATTCTTGAGTGACCAAAGCTAAACACTCCCTGTCAACGTGAGTTGTGTCACTCTGCATACGGCGACCAGGCTATCTTTTTATGCTGGAAGGTCTACTATTTGTTCACTTATTTATTTGTAAAGCCTCATGCTAGGGTAAGCTTATTGAGAGGGGCTAGGTGGGAGAGAGAGAGAGAAATTGAGAAATACATTGATGTGAGAGAGAAGCATCAATCACTCGCCCTCCAGGCTGGGGATCAACTGCAACCCAGGTAACCCAGGTATGTGCCCTGACCAGGAGTCAAACTGGCAGCCTTTCAGCGCACAGGACCACACTCAGCCAACTGAGCTGCTCTGCCAGGCAAAGTCTACTGTCGCTATCCATTAAAAAGAGCTAAACAGATTGCCTGGTGACTAACAGCCAATCCTACCTGCTTCTACATTTAGAATTAAAGGCAGTTCACTTAGCTGATGCTTAAGAGGGCGTCAGAAAGAATGTATTAATGAAACATTATAATGTAGGTGAACACTCTCAACCATCGAGCATCGCTTACAGAATTCTCCCAAATCAATCCGCACTAGGAATCACATATTAACTTCACTGAATATGTGTAGTGTAGGAAAAAAATTCTGAAAAAACACTGTATTTGCTTCTATAATTCCATACCCTTTTCTTTCTCTATAATTTATCATTAAAAAATAAAAATGATGATTTATTGTTTAACTGCTACAGCTGTTCTCAGAGTAAACTCAAAATTGAGTACTAGGATAGAACCTATTTCTTCTCAAAAGAAACATTTCAAGTTCAGCTCTCTGAAAGCTAAGAAAAGTCCAGTCGTCACTTTCCACAAACGAGGTCCTCCAAGTCTCACGGTCAAGTCCAGGCCAGTTCTCGCACTGCGCCGGCTGGGAAGGACACCGGTGCACAGGTCCTCTCCCTGGGTGGCTCACAGCCCAAGTGCGGACAGCCCGCGCTTTATTTCGCTCACCTGGTGCTACAGAGAAGGAGGCTTGTTCTAGAAAGACAGGGCTTGGTACTACCAAATGTTCCTTCACAGCTGGGAATGAAAATGACAACTCAACACCCAAAGGGAAGGAGGGAGAAGTGATGGCAAATGGAGGGACAGGAAATCCTAAAGCTGTACAGATAAGAAACTAGTGACGTGGATGTTTCCGAGAAACATGGTGGTTTTTGTTTTGTTTTTTGTTTGTTTTTTAAAATCTATTAGCAATACAGAATAATTAAACTTCATTCCCATTGCAGCTACTGAGGGGAAGGAGAACGGGGAGGCGTGGTGGGAGACAGGAACGAGGCCAAAGGCAGGCTTCAGTGATTTAGTCACGTAACCGGAGGTCAGCCCTCACCCATTGCTACAGGCCCAAAACACGTTCTCACTTGTAGCTGCACTTGAAATTCAGAGTAGTTCACTAGCAACTTAGAATAATTCCTTATGAGCAAAAAATCTTTAAACAGAGGAGAAAAGAAAGCAACTAACTTGAAGATACGAGAGGCAAAAAAGGAGGGTTTACAAAGATGGTAGGAGATGGAAAAGGAAGGAGGAGGAAAAATTCCTCTTGTTGCAGCCACTAAACAGTCACTTGCTACTACTTGATATAAAAGTCTATACAAACTCTCTATGCTATTTATCTTTAAAACAAGCCAAAAAATAAACTTCAACATTGTCGTCTCAAAGTCATGTTGATATCTAATAATTTTGATTAATTAAAAAAATAAAATTTTATTTTAATAAATCATAAATCACATTTTTAATTGCTTAAAATTGCTCCCTTTTGGGCCTTCAATCATCACATAGATAAGGGTAATTTATGAAAAAAATGGATCTGAATCACAAATCAGGATAAATCTGTGGAGAAGGCCATGAAAGTGACTAACAATATTTATATCTCTTTTTCATTAACATTAGTTTTTCTGGGTGACTTTTCAAAAAAGATAAAATATAACTCACTTACCAGATGTACTTAAGTACATAATATAAAATAATATACAATGTTTTGGAAAGCAGATTTAATGTAAACAAATCTTTTTAAGTCACATTAGAAATGTTAGTAAACCATGCACATTCAAAAGCCATTTCTTTTGTACTTGTAAGCAGCTGATAAATTAAAAGGACATGTTAATTATTAAAAACCACCCTTGAAAATTGATTTAAAATTTTTTCTTTTAGAGGACAGTGAAAAGTAGTCAAAGCCTTTTTGATTAGGAAATGCTTAAAGAAATGTGCGGTGGTCTGGTCAGCCTGTTCCCAACCGGTATGCATCTGTTCATTATACCACTACTAATAGCATAATTTCCCCCAGAACACTCGGAGTCACTGAGTTCCACATGGAATCCTCAGACATGTGCTTGGCAGTGACACACTGTTTGGATAATGGACATCTTAAACATAACTAGGTAAAAACAATTTTTATTCACATAGATCAAGGCCATGAAAAAGAACAATGCACTGGAGACAGGTGAAGGTGGCAGGGTTAGGGCCACTGGCAGGAGGTGTTACAGCTTTAGAATAAAAAGGAGTCAGATGCTTTCTGCAGGCTCTAAGTAGAAGTCTATTTCCATGCAGTGGAAGGACAAGGGCGGGTAAGAGAGGAGAGCCCAGGCAGTGCTGGCTTAGCACAGGCCTGCAGGCCGCTGAGCAGCAGGGCGGTGCTGGGAGGGGCAGAGCATGCAGAGGGAAATTCTGGGAGGGAGGCGGGTGGGAGAGGAGTGAGAGACACAGACTCACTCTGTCTGCGGTGCGATGGCACAGTCCGTGGGGTCCCCTGGAAGGAGCCCTGCCAAGGAGAGAAGGAGGGAGCAGAATACCCACCCTGTGTGGAGAGAGACGGTAGGGAGGTATAATAAAAAAGGGAACTGAAAAATAGAGAAACCAGTCATACTTTTAAAAATAACACAATAGTGTTTATGAGAAGACAGATTTCATTTTTTAAATATAGGCAGCTCAAATGATTAAAAAACACACAATTCCCAGCTGATTTGATTTTCATGTATTTTAATAAAAATTATTTTTTTCTAATATTTGTATTTAACACACAAAAAATAAAATATTCTTTCACACACATTACGTTTATCTTCATATATCCCTTTTTAAAGTAGTATATTCCAGTCTTGCAAAAAATGAAAGCATTTAAAAGGGGAGATAAACTGTAGGTGTTAAACAGAAACAAAACATCAATTATCAATCAGGCAATAAAAAAATTACCTCACAAAAATGTATACTTCTTTTTAAGTCATAGACTTTCAGAAGATTAGTAGATAAAGACCATTAGCTAAAGACAGCACAACCAACACAGCATTAAGAAGACTGAGGATGCTGTGAGAGTAACTACACCCAAACATTTGACATGCAGCTACTTAATTTGAATGACCTGTGGTTCCTTAGTTTTATTTTTAATAGAGATTGTCAAAAATAAAATACATCTGAATGTCATTTACTTAAGTTTCTACACTTTTCAGATAAAACTCAGTCTTCAAAAAAGAATTTGTTCAATGCCACACAAGTAGAACTGACAGGGCAGAAACAGAATGCTGGGGAACCAGCTAGAACTGTAAGGAGTAGTGGCCATGACTGTTTCATTCTGATCAGAGAAGGCACATGCTAACCTGGCTAGCAGCCCCATTCCGGCCCTGGGCTCACCTGGAAATGCAGCCGTCCCCGTTTGGAGCTGCCTATTCTCATGGAAGATGAACTACTTTGTGAGAAACCAGAATCACCAGCCCCTTGGAGCTGCTCGCCCATGATGCGGCAGGATTGGAATGAATGCTCACACAGGATCTAACTGTGTCTCTGCTTAATTGGCTTCAGTAGTGACCAGCAGCCCGGACCCAGCCAGTGCGGCTACAGACCCAGAGAGGTCTCAGGTCTTCCTCTTCCTCGCCTCCTACCTGACTGAAGCAGAGCAATAAACAAAACTATTCAAACACCATCACCAGGAAAAGGAGCCTGGAGGTCATATCCAGTTCAATCTGCCAAAGAAAGTGTGCACAATGTTTCAGACCAACTAGTCTGACATAGAAACGGTGTAATTAGGAGATTACTAACGTGGTTGACTAGTGTTGACAAATCTCAAGAACACTGATCCACATAACAATCTGTTTGCCCCTCTGTATCAGTAACATTCCTGGCACAGTTCAGTATAATCAGATACTTTCTATTTCAGGGCGATTCTATATTGCTCCCTTCCACATAAGTGATCCACTATTTTTTACAAAAGACCCATTTTCTATGCTGAAGAAGGGGGGTGGGGGAGCCAACTATAAGTTACTAAGTATTATAGAATTAATGGCCTTTAGAATATCCTAGTAATATCCATTTTAAAAAAATTATTACACTTTCTTCACTAATTTACCATAGATATTTCTGAAAATAGCTTAGAAAATACCTAATAGGGCAATGACCCCAGGAACTCTCCATAGATGATACTGATAAAACTCCATTCTGCTTTCATAAATGTTTTGGTTCCTCCCCGCTTCCGATGGGTTTCACCGGGGCCAAAGTCTGCCCCTCACGGGAGCGGCTCTTGCAGGCAGAGCTTTTGGACAGAAGCTCGGCAGCAGACAGGCCTCCCAGAAGCAGGTGATCTGGAGCCTGCAGAACAAGTCCCCGAGGCCCAGGCCGCATTGCTCCGGCTCTTCCATCCCCCCCCCCCCCCCCCCCCCCCGAGAAAGTCAGCTCCTCTGCGAGCCTCGGTTTCTTCATTTGTGAGATGCAGGCTTGGGATGTGCTGCAGAGTGATATTTGTGCCTCCTAAAATCTCCAATGTTGAAACCTATTCCCCATGTGATGTTTTGAAGGTGAGGCCACAGGGGAGCCCTCACCTGGGACCTGCGCTCTTAGAACAGGAAACGCCAGGAGCTCCTGTGGGAGAACCAGGACGTGGCCACACAGACACTGAGCTCTGGTGCTGACAGAGATGCCAGCCTCCAGAGCTGCCGGGAGGAACTTCTCTTGTTTATCAGCCACCCGCCCACGGCGGTGTGTGACAGCTGCCTGGACAGACTCAGGCAGAATGGCTCCTTCCTAACTTCAGTTCTTGTAATTCAGCTACTCAAATATCTGCCCTGTTTTCACTCATCCAGAATCACTGCTATCCCTTCATTTCTAACTCTCTTTATAGGGTATTTCAAACAATCAACTTTAGACTAAGTTGTCCCTCCTAACACAGTAGCTATGCTAAATGTTCACCCCCTCTGCCTAACAGCCCCAGCAGACTCTAAATAACTGTGTCAATTTAAATGAAATTAAAGTAAGTTACTATGTTTATCTAGAGATGAAACTGTAACTTCCACCAGGCTTGGACACATACTGCAAGCAGTAGAGCATCTTTAGAAAACAAAAACATGACAATCCATCTTCACCCCACCAAGACCACCAAGTCAGGATTTCTGAGAGGCTAGGTACTTCCCTACAGTTCAAACCCATTTTCGAAAGCTTTTCCCTGTCCTACTTACAATAGCCATCCCCCTAGTTTATACACACCTGCGTTTCTTGGCAGACGCTTGTCTCAGGGCATTTTTCTCCCTCTGTTCATTATGTTGATAAAACATTTTTTTTTTATTCTTCTAGTGCACATAACTACCCTTAGAATAATAGCTTTGTTACGTTTCTTGGTGTGAACTATAGCTTCTTGATAAGTAACTCACAGAATAGAATCAGTATATGTTGAATAAAATTTAATAGAAGAGGCACTGCAGAACCAGCACAGAATGAAACAGATAGACTTTTTCTCCTGCCAAGTATAGCGAACAACCTTGGAAGTTATATACTAGAGGCCCAATGCATGAAAATTTGTACACTCTAGGGAGGGGGGGTCCCTCAGCCCAGCCTGCATCCTCCTCAAACTGGGACCCCTCGAGGGATGTCTGCCAGCCTGATCACCCTCTAACTACTCCCCTGCCAGCCTGATTGCCCCCATAACCCTCTCCTATTGGTCTGGTCACCCCTAACTGCCCTTCCTTGCCAGCCTGGTTGCCCTTAACTGTCCTCCCCTGCAGGCCTGATCACCCCCAGCTGCCCTCCCATGCAGGCCTGGGTCTTCCCCTCCCCTGCAGGCCTGGTCACCTCCATTTGCCCTCCTCTGCCATCCCGGTAAGCCCTAACTGCCCTACTCTGCAGGCCTTCTTGTAGCGGCCATCTTTCACCACGTGGGGGAAGCCATCTTGTGTGTTGGAGTGACAGTCAATTTCATATTACCTCTTTATCATATAGGATAAAACAAACACACAATTTTGAAGGGTGATGCTAAGACAGACCAATCAGGGACCCTTAAATCTGAGGAAAAACATGGTAGATAATTCCTGGGATTTCTTTTGGCCTAGTGTGTCCTGCATTAGTTGACGGAGAAGCCAGCACCCAGAAATGCCAAGGGACATGGACAAAAGCAAAAGCAAAAAGGTCCCCAGGAAAACCTGCACCTTCAAAGTGCTGCTAGGAAACACACACTGCACAACACCATGGACTCAGCCCAGCTCACTCACACTGTCTTCCATGGATCTTTTTTTTTTTTTTTTTTTTTTTTTTTAAAATATGTTTTATTGATTTTTTTACAGAGAGGAAGGGAAGGGATAGACAGTTAGAAACATCGATGAGAGAGAAACATCGACCAGCTTCCTTCTGCACACCCCCTACTGGGGATGTGCCCGCAACCTAGGTACATGCCCTTGACCGGAATCGAACCTGGTCCTTTCAGACCGCAGGCCCATGCTCTATCCAGTGAGCCAAACCAGTTTTGGCTTCCATGGATCTTAAGGAAAGTATAACAAATGTTTAAAATACTTAAAAATGGGGGAGAGGAAGGGACTGAAATTAAGGTTTCCATACTTAGTAGACTACATAAATATAAATACATTATTAAAATAAAACAAAACAGAACAAATGGAGACCAGCCTTAAAAATTTATCTGAGCAGACAAAACCAGTTAAACTGTTATAAACACAGTTTAATTTAGATTGTTTTGCACGAATAGCTTGACCTGGGTCATTTCTTGCTTATGCCCCTGGAAATTGTAACTAAAACTTGAACTATTTCTCAAGGTTGATATGAGGTAACCACTGAAAATTCGAATATAACTCACCATTGTGGAGAATAAACAGGCACTGTTTTCTCACTATATAAACTACTTTATAATTATACTAGAGGCCTGGTGCACAAAATTTATGCACTTGGAGGGGGGAGACGTCCCTCAGCTTGGCTTGCACCCTCTTGCAGTCCGTGACCCCTTATTCCTTACCGCCCGCCTGCTTGCTGCTCCTTACCGCTGGGCTTGATGCTCCTTAGCATTGCCGTGGAGGTGGGAGAGGCTCCCGCCACCACTTCTGCGCTCACCAGCATGAGCCTGGCTTCTGGCTGAGTGGTGCTCCCCTTGGGGGAATGCACTGACCACCAAAGGGCAGCTCCTGCGTTGAGCGTCTGCCCCCTTATGGTCAGTGTGTGTCATAGCAACCGGTCATTCTGCTGTTTGGTCGATTTGCTTATTAGCCTTTTATTATATAGGATACCTCTGAACTTCATTCCATGTTTTAGTTTGAATATTCTCAGGTTGCAAAATGTCTTTTTGATGTTAGCATCGTCAACTTTTACTAATTACTATTTTGGGGATTCATTGGTTTTATTATTATTATTATTATTATTTGGGGATTCATTGGTTTTATTACTATTATTATTATTATTATTTTTAATATATTTTATTGATTTTTTTACAGAGAGGAAGAGAGAGGGATAGAGAGTTAGAAACATCTCTATGAGAGAGAATCATCGATCAGCTGCCTCTTGCACACCCCCTACTGGGGATGTGCCCGCAACCAAGGTACA